TAAAGAAGACTGTAGAATGACAAATGAGGGGATATAATAAGCAGAAAAATCAAAGACAAAATAAAATGAATGAGAGAGATTGGAAGTTTTGGTTTTTGTCAACTTCTAGTTTGGTCCATCCTGTTGCTCCCTCCGTGAAAATTCAGAAAAATCTTGTTGTTCCATCGAACCCACCACTTGGGTTCTTTGGAACTTAGCACCAGGGTTCCAAAGAATCTAGGCATGGGTTTGATCGAACTCAGCGTTTTGGTTCCAAAGAACCCAACGTCTTTTTTATTATATATTTTTTTTTTCATGTCACTATTATAAGTCAACAAGTTGGATTTGCCAACATGTCAAAAAGTCCAAGTTGGCACTGACATGTAAATGTATAACGGAGATTAACAAGGCACGTGTTGCACGTGACCTTTCAGTGTTAAATTTTGCCTCATTTTCCTAAACTCGAAAGCATGAAGGATAAAAACCCATATATTGTAATATGAGGGGCAAAATGCCTCAAACTAAAAAAGTTGAAGGGCAAATGGGGGGGGTTTTTGCCAAAATAAGACAAAGAAAGAGAGCAACGCACGCATCGTACAAACCCACACAAGGAAGATGGAAGGATCCACACTAAGCTGGTGGTACCAAACTCGCAGCCCAGAGCACTTCCAAACCGAAAAGTGAAGGCAGCATGAGACATATAATCATAATAGAATTATTAGATGTGGACTTATATCACTTTGACAGAGTTTAAAATTAAGTAAGTTTGTTTCTAAACAGAATTTTCTCTTCATAAATTAAAAAATTAGTAGAGGAAAAATGAGAATATAGCTTTTAAAAGTGATGAGAAATCTACTAATTCTAAGTTTCTTAAAATGTTACATGTTATTTTAATAACTTGTTTTATTTGAGCGAAACTGGAAAGAGGAAAAATATTTTATCAAATCAAATTAAAACATCGGATTAAAATTGCTTGAGGGAAAACTCTTTTAAAGTGAATTATTTTAATTTTTTTAATAATAATTTATTAAAACAACATAATTTTTAAATATTTATCTACTATTCTTTTACAAGTTTGGTTGGTGTAGTGCCCCAATCCCACGTCCAAAGAAGATTATGATTATAAATAGTAAGTAAGTGAAAAATCAATCAACACTAAGTGAAAAATCAATCAACACTAACAATTTAAATTTAAGTTTTTAAAGATTCATAAATTTTTATTTAAAAAATTATTAAACTAATGATGAGTTTTTAACTCTCAGAATTGGGGCTCTATAATCGCTCTTCCACTTAAATGCTTGGTGGAATCCACTCAAGTCCAATTCAAACCGACCCACAATTACAAAATACACCCCTTGCGAAGACCGAAGCCCAACCAACTTAACCGACCCACAATTACAAGATCAACCCCTTGCAAAAGCCGAAGCCGGACCAACGTAAAATCTAGATTACATGGACCATGGTATCAGCCCAAAGACCAAAATCAGCACAATTCTGCTTTTCTACTTCACTAAAATCGTAAAAATCTATCCCAGAAAAGTGCAATTAACACCAAAATTCAAATCTCTACATTCAACCACGACTCCCGATTGAAATATATAAACTCGATCTCTAATTCTATGCAATTTTTTTTTTTAATACACAAAGAAAACAAGATTTGGAGGGATTACCTATATTGAGATCTACCCAACTAAGACTCCCTTGGGAGTCATCAACTACTACTCCCTCAGCAACCGTAATTCACCATATTGCATACATAATTTTCTCCATGTAACTTACAAAACCATTACTAAACATTCTACTAGCTCACTGCGTATATATAATCACGAGAGTGACCTTTTAGTACTACTAACAAAATCAAATTTTTATCAATGATATGTTAGTCT